AGACTCCTCTCATCATCTACCTTGTCTTGCGAGTATCCATATGCCAGATCTAAAGTGTTGAACCAATGGGAACCTTCAATTGTGTTCAGACATTCATCTGTTCATAGCAAGAGAACAACTGATAAAGACTATTTTTCCACTATGGCAGAAAGCATTTTTGTTTTTACTTGTAATATATCATTAAATAGTATTACTTTCATGAAATGATTGTTTATTACAAAATACAACGTTGCACAATGGGATAGCCCATTATGTAGCTTTGTGCTTAACTACAAACAAGTACTGCGTGAATTAATATTGGATTTCACGAAAACCAATTTAAGTTAAATAGAGTATTTAAAAATTGTTGAAAGTATAACTGTTAAATGTGTGTTCAAAAAGTCTAGTTGTAATTGAGCGAGGCAGTTAGGAAACTATATGGTTAGTTTGAAGTCTAACAGAGAAACTACTTAAATACATTATTTTCAAAGTATCGCTTTTTCTTTGTGTACTTTTAAACATTGTAGCTCATATTTATCTATAAAGTTTTAAAAACCGAACAAAACCTTATTGTAATAAAACTTATTGGCAAGTCTTGTAAATATTCGTTGATCAAAAGAATAACAAAAAATAATTAAAAACATTAAATTTCAGTGACTGTTACTAAGTTAAATATTTCAAGAAAAATTATGTGTGTGATATTAAAAAGTATTTTATTCGCCAAAAGCAACCCTTATTTATGTAGGTACTTGAAGAATAACTTATTTTAATGGTACTTATTCGTTATTCGTTAGAACGACATCAGGAGTCTTGAAATGGTGAACTGTAGTTTATTTGTAGGTTGTTTGAATGTCAGGTAGAGAATTTAAGAACAAACTGGGCCTCATGAGAGAAAATATATATATTATTTTCAGGAAGTTTAATTATTCTGCTATGTAAAATAATCATAAAATATCCTGCTTATTTGTGATAATGCATTAGAATGTCCTTTAGAGAGCATTCACATATGTATAAAAAGATATCACCATGATTAAACTGCTTTCATAAAAAGCTATCAAAGTGCATTAAACTTTCTGGCGTGTTTCCACATTAATCAAAATATGTGTTGGAACCAAGATAAAAAAATCATAAGCCTTTTTCTTTCATTGTTTACATAGCCAGAATTAAACATAATAAATATACCTTTAGCTAGTCAACAATCAGCAGGTGACAAAGGTTAATTTGTTTTGTTGTTTGTTTTTAGAACTTTCACACAAAGCTGTACAAGGATTTATCTAAGAATAACGATTCCCATTTCTAAATTAATGGAATAGAAGGAAATCAGCTATAGCTAACAACACTCAATGCCAAATCTTAAGTTATTGTTTTCTGGCTGATTAGTGGTATTTGATCGTCACTCTATTGGTGCAGCCTGGCAGATTAGATACTTTGAGAATGTCAACTAGGAGCTAGTCATCTGTTATATAAGACTTACAAAATTTGTAGTATAATTTTAACTTCACTATATATTAAATACAAACTTGTAATCGTAGACAATGTTTAAGAAAATGTTAATTTTGTCTAAAGAATTTATAGAAAGCCTTACTTGTACCTCTAAAAAACACTAGTTATTGAACTAGTTGAATTTACAGTTTCTGTAATAGATTTAAATTCCCATTACATTTTTGGGTCTCACTTCTCAAAGGCTCGTGAGCAAGCTTCATTGTATACTACATGAGGTGAGCCATCACTTTGACATAGTTGAGTGGATTCTGGAAATTTCTCAAACCGAAAGAAAACTAAATCTCTTTATCAATGGTTTAATAGCTGTATATTGTTACGTATCTGCTTGTTTGATAATTTCAGGCGGAAATTCTTTTCGAGGAACTTCAATGATACAAGTTCTTTCTTGATTAAAACTAGTTTATTCTTTCTTGATACAACTTTGTAATACACAGAATTTCCAAAGTCACTGTAAACTTAACAACCTTTATAACACACGCTATAAATCACACGCACAGTGATTCACACACTTCACTTACGGTGCCTACTGTTCGCTTGACTCAATTATCTATCTATTCAATTCCGCTGTTTGTTTGTTTGTTTGTTGTTTTTTTAATTATGCACAAAGCTACACAAGGGCTATCTGTGCTCTGGCCACCACGGGTATCGAAACCCTGATTCTAGCGTTGTAAGTCCGCAGACCCTGTGGATGGATCTTCACCAAATTTGGTATGGAGGTTCAATGAATCCATGAAGGGATACATTCAAATTTTCAGTTATGCATTTTTGCGTTTTGCGGTTTTTATGGGCGTTTTTGTGTTTGTTTACCAGTACTTCGCCCCCTGTGGATGGATCTTCATCAAATTTGCCATGACGATTTATTGGGTCCATACGGAGATTCACGCAAATTTGCTGTTTTGCATTTTAGGTTTTGCGGTTTTTATGGGCGTTTTTTACAATTACATATAACGGGAGCAACTTTTCATACCCTAAGATAACCTTTCATTACTCATAAACTTACATAACTTCTGTACAGGGGATGGGTACTCCAGTTAGTATAGAATAAAAATCAATTGCTTTGATATAATAAACATAAGGAAAATACAATTATAGCATTATGTAGAGAAAAAACAAAGGAATTTTTCATACTTCAAATAATACGTTGTATAATTGAAGGTTTAATTTTACATCGAAACCACAGATACTGTTTTTAAGTTTCTAAATATTGTCTTTGACTTTAAATTACAAACTAAGTTGAATAGTTTGGCTAGCTAAAAGAGTGATTGATTATACTAATTACATAGAGAGCTGAAGAAGAGTTTAGGAGGTTACAAAACCCTTATTGTTTTACATTTTTTGAAAGAAACCACGCATAAAAGTTTAGAATTCATATTATTGGCGGAACTGATTATATTTATTCATACTAATTTCATATTTATAGAATGCTTGAAAACAGTATGTCTTTTTTTTTTCAGTGTTACTACCATTATGCATTTGACACTTACTGTTACTTGAAAAGCTGATTACTAGTATATTAAAATATACAGTAGTGGTGAAAAACTCACCAAATTAAAATAACTTTACTAATAAATAAATAAAACTACTTTTCCGGCAACAGCCCTTCATCAGATTACCAGTGACGATTAAACTATTAATACAAGGGTTAGTTGAAAAAACAAGTAACACGTGAATCAAAAGCTCGAGAACATATTCCTGAAGCTACAAATGAGCTAAGGGAAATAACATTAAAAATAATAATAATAAAAGTATAAAAATTGTATAAATACAATTAATAGTAGTGCATCGGGTAATATTGTTCAAATAAAACGTATGTGAACTTAATCGAAGTGAAGAACGACGGTGAAAAGTGAATAATATAGAGGTAAGAAAAGTGGGTAACTAGAGTGAACGGGCTAGAGAGGAAAAGAGTGCGAACCTTGAACAGAAAGGTTGTAGACACAGTGTGAGAAAGTATAAATAAGGTGTACGACGGGTAAATGGAAAGGATAAACTTAAAGGAAAGAAAACTCTTCATTCATTCCAAAGGGATTAACAGTACTTAATCTAAAAATCAAACGTTTTTCCAGGCGTTCTCTTTACATTACAGTGGATGGAGCAAATGTGAGTGCAAGTATGGAGAAGTCGGACATGCAGTGTGAAGGGTTATTAAAGTTTCTACAATGTAGGTTTTGTAGCGTCATTATTTCTTATGTAAGAGAGATGTTCACGTGAACGATTACCTAAGCGGCGACCCGTTTGACCGACGTATAGCATGTTGCACTTTTTACAGCATACACGGTATATCAGACTTGTTGAAATGCAAGTGAATGATTCTTGTATTTGAAATTTTCCATTGAGGCCAAATGTGGATGTTGTGGTGTTAACAAATTGGCAGGTGACGCATTTCTTTTTGTGACAACAAGCTGTACCCGGGTTCACACTAGTGGTAGATTTCTGGAAGACACGTGTCCGGGAATGGTTATACTTAAAAATATATCATATATAGCTAATTTAGTTGTTTTGTATTTACGGTAAGCTTCTACGTTGTACAAAATGAAATATAAAGAGAATGGATAGAATGTGGAATCTGTCCTTTATTGGGATTTCCTATTCAACATAGCCAGCAGTAAAAGACTTACATGCGATCAAACTTACATAAGCCTTCAGTGACTCCACGGTATGTTGGAATGGGCTTTTAATGAAATAATTGTATTTGTCTGGATATTAAAGTCGGGCAACAGATTGGCGTGGCACTTATCAAGTGTTACAAACAATGTAAATATTCCAGCATGTTTTAACATTGGTTTTGTTTTATACGATGATTCAAGTCTCATATTTCAAACTTTTAACAAATGTATTAATGAAATATTTAACTTCGCACTTATTACTTTATAGTTCTTAAAATTCATTCATATTATCTATTTTATCGTTCATTGAAAAAACGGGATAATTTAAAACAGTAAACTTTCGTCTTGTTGTATGATGCAGTTTATAAAAACTATACTTCATTAATAATTTATTGTATTTCATTAGTATGTACCTAACCTAAAGAAAGGTGTCTAAGATTTATTTCCTTGAAAATAAGAAAACAAGTAAATAAATTGAACATAATTTTATATATTAAGTTACACGTACACTGTCCTGATGTTCAAAAATCAAAGGGTAATAGTTTTGGCCCGGTCTTCATTACTGCATTTTTACTCTTAATTGTTAAATGATGTAGCTTAGAAAGGGTAGTTGCTATATTGGTATACATTTTTTTGTATGTGTGACTGTGTGTGTTTGATAGACCAAAATAGTGCAATTTTTTTAAAAATTCTTTTTATTTGCTGGAATCGTTAATTAGTTCCTATTGTTGTGTGACGTAATTCATCCATGGTATAATTTTGAATAAAATCTAGATGTAACTAGTTCATATAGAATATAATTAATATTAAATTTCAGTATATATATATTTTCTCACAAATGTAACTTAGACTTAGCCTAATTCGTCACTGGAAGTCATGTACACAATTCACACCTGACATGCCTCTAGTGACTCAACTCGGTAATGATCAGAGTCCCTTGATCTTATGTACTGGTGGGATTAATCCCTTGAAGCCCAAAGATTATTTAACAGGTAAGTCGCTGTGTATTATATTCTTGAGTGTTAAGTTTTCGTGACCTCTGAGTCCTAAACAAAAATATACTTTCAAATAGTGATTTGCAAAATAAGTTTAATATACATTGTTACAAAATTATTTGCAACCATGTTACTAATATTCTAGCAAAACCTTTAGTTATTTCTGAGGAAATATAGGTCATTATGGAATACTCGGTCAGTGTTCTACGTTTCATAACTCCAAGTAGAATATTTTATTTAACATATTTAAACTAAAAGAAATCACTTCCAATATTTGTTCAATATTGTTAAACAGTTTTTAAAACTCGAGTTTCAATCGATTTATTTTTTTCTTGCGTAGAAGTTACTATCATCAGTTAGGGCTATCCTATATAACAGTTTTAGTGATACACAAGACAACTGCTGTAAATACCAGTGTATTTCATATTGTTATATTACGGTGATATAGTATCTGAAATAAAGAAAATTATATTGTATCATTACAATTCTTAATTACCAATAAGTTATTTTACAATTTTATTTCAGAGTTGTAGAAATTATTTATTTTTATCTATATATTTTGTCCTTTGGAAGATATTTCATGTGATTATAACCAGGTTAGTATTTTGGACACTTTTAAAACAGAAAGGGATTGAGTTTCGTACTAATAAGCAATTCTATAGTTTGCCAAGAAAGTGTAACCGTACGCCTTCGTATTAGGAAAGTTCTGAATAAAAAGGTGAATTATAACAGTAACATAAGTTTTGCACATTTCGTTCTTAAAGGTGGAGCAATGTTCTGCTATCAAACAATGAAAGATACGTGGGCATATTTTGGTACAATGACAGAACCTCGTAATTACCATGCTATAGTGTATATACACGGACGTATCTATGTTTTCGGTAAGTTGGTACAATGACAGAACCTCGTAATTACCATGCTATAGTGTATATACACGGACGTATCTATGTTTTTGGTAAGTTGCAAGGATTTCGTTTGTTTGTTTTGTTATCAAATGCAAGTCTGCACAATGGGCTATTTTCGCTGTGCCACCACAGGGATCGAATATTAGGCTTCAGTGTTATCATTGGACCACAGGGGAAAACTACAATGACATAAGTTAATGTTTTTTATAACACAAACAGTAGCAAATGAAAATCAAATTTTTTAGGACATATATAATTAAATCTGGACTAAAATGTTGATGATATAACCATGTATTGAAACACCCTACAATGAACTCATCATTCTATTGAACTATCCATTTATAGAAACATCATCCGACATGGTAGTACTAACCCTATTAACACAATTTACTATCTGGTTAAAAAACCTTAGTAATATAATCCATCTATTAACATCATCTACCTTTGTAAAACACATGTTGTATATAAATGAAAACTATAAACGTATGTTGAGATGAGTTGCAATCAGTATGCAGTTCTACAGAAGTATAGTGAGTCTGTCCATTTATAGAAACATCATCTACCTTTGTAAAACACATGTAATATAGTTAAATATAGAAATAAAACCTATAAAAAATAAGTTGAGACAATTGAAAATCTGTATGTAACCTTATGGAAGTATAGTAACAATATTTGTCAATAGAAACACCAACTGCCCTATTAAAACACACACAATATGCCTAGTAAGAAGATCAGCCTATAGAGCCTTAGTAAGACCATCCGCTTATAGCACCTTATTAACACCATCCGCCTATCTAGCCTTGGTAACACCGCCCCCTATAGTAACAGATCCTCTGGTATCAATCTATGATATCATCCCTCTCTTTAGATAGCCGCTCCCTCTGGTGCCACTTCATGGAACTATGACTCTTAGTAACGTACTTTCTAGTGCCTGTGACATAACAGTTATGTACCCCCCCCCCCCAAGTGTCAGCATAATTTGGATATCATGCAATAGTTATTCAACCCTCAGGCGATACCCATTGTCTATTATGTGACAGTTGTGTAATCCCACTGAGGAGGCATTATTTTGGTGGACAACAGATGGAGTAACTACTCATATTCACTGATGATTTCTATTTCTGATTTCAAGTGTCTGCTTGAAAAGCTGAAAGCCTGATTCTTGACTATTTTTTAAAAAAGATATAAGTTTTGAACCAAAACTCAACTTTTTCTTATTCAGAACTAGTGTTAAATGTCTTAAGCCAAAATAAATTGGTGTTGCTGAGGAATCTTTTGTAACAGATATAGACAAAGCTGATAAAGAGTTACATCGTAAATCAATTTCAAGAGAGTAATATTAATTTCTTGTGTGTGCTCATTTTACCAAGATTTTTTCTATGAAATTCAGAAAATACTTACATTTGAAAGTCCTGTTTTCCAAGAACTCCAATACTTACATTCAATGTTCAGAATAGAAAATGTACTGGCACCTCCACTAAGACATATTTCCAAGTGGCAATGAAGCTGTTGCTGTGGGAATAAAATATACAATGAAGCTGTTGCTATGGGAATAAAATATACAATGAAGCTGTTGCTGTGGGAATAAAATATACAATGAAGCTGTTGCTGTGGGAATAAAATATACAATGAAGCTGTTTGCTGTGGGAATAAAATATACAATGAAGCTGTTGCTGTGGGAATAAAAAATACAATGAAGCTGTTGCTGTGGGAATAAAATATACAATGAAGCTGTTTGCTGTGGGAATAAAATATACAATGAAGCTGTTGCTGTGGGAATAAAATATACAATGAAGCTGTTTGCTGTGGGAATAAAATATACAATGAAGCTGTTGCTGTGGGAATAAAATATACAATGAAGCTGTTTGCTGTGGGAATAAAATATACAATGAAGCTGTTTGCTGTGGGAATAAAATATACAATGAAGCTGTTGCTGTGGGAATAAAATATACAATGAAGCTGTTTGCTGTGGGAATAAAATATACTTTTTTTATTTGACGGTAGTTGGACTTAAATCACAGAACCTTAGCTATACAGTCTGGAATGCTAATTACAGAGCCACTCTCAGTCTGCTCTTAATAGAAGCAAAAGTCATTTCAGTTATTAGGCTATTCTGTTTGTAAAAGAAGAACAAAAATAATAATGTTTATTATTTTTGTATATATTCCATACGTATTTTTGGCTGGGTATGGCCTAGTGGTTAGTGTGCTTGAACTATAAATTTAGGGGTTCATGGTTCGTGTTGCATTGGTCAAAAGAACTTGCTCTGCACTTTAAGGCAGTGTTTGTGTTATATAAGAATAATGGTCAAATCCCACTTTTCATTCACTAAAGAGTACTGCAGGCATTGCCGATGGGTGATGTTGACTATCTATCTTCTCTCTTGTTTATCAGCTCAAAATTACAGATATGCTCAGATAAGCCTTTGTGCAATTTCCATGAAAAGCTAAATCCATATGCATTTTTTTCTCAGTTACGTTATGTTTGTGAACTTAAATGTCATAAAAACAAGAATCAGTAGTGTTAATTATGATTGGTTTATATTTTTCATACGTATTCTCAGTCACGTAGTTTTTGTGTATTTAAAATAAAGAACAGCAAGAAACAGGTAGGTGTGTATCTTGTATTCACTAAACTTAAACGTTACTGTTTTGGTGGGATTAATCTGAACATGCCTAAAATTCTATATTTTTAAGTATGGGCTAAATAAGAGTCTCAGGGACTAGTTGGCAATGAGTTAGCAGAAACTAAAAAATGAGAAATTGTACACAAATTGACAAAATAATTAGTTATTCAAATTAAACCACATTTAGAAACCTCCTGTAGTTTTCCCATGTTCAGTAGTGTCATTGTAAATTTTATATATGTATGTATTTCGTATATAAATATATTTATACTTTTGCATCTCTTGTAATTTGACTTTTAAATATACTCTTGTTTGAGAATACATTTTAATGTCAAAACAATGATCCGGCTGTAACTGATATGTAGTTTTATAATAATACATGCAGGTGGTTACAATCCTCTTGAGACTGTAAATGGAGAAATGCAACCAACAGCAACAGTTTTCCAATTGACGATACGTTCTAAACGATGGAGAAGAAGGGCAGATATGTTTCATGCAAGAGCATGTCATGCAGCCGTTGTAATAGAGGGAAGGATCATTATTGTTGGTGGAAAAAATGACAGTGGAGAGTACGTCTATACTACAATAAAATAGCATTTATTGGTTAAAACAAATAGTGTAAAGGACCAGAAACAAAGATCACATTAGCACATAGTTACAACTTAGTTGATATTGTTGTATTAAGAGTTAATGATTTATTTCATCAGATTATTAGCCTTTTGCCATACCGTGCTTGTGAGATAAAAGAAATAAAACTTTTAGAATATTTCATGGATTTGAGATGTAACTTCACAAGTAGCTATAATAAAGTAGTATTAGAGTGTTGAGTGCAAAAGTAAACACTGATGAAGTTAAACAAGTAAAGCTCAAGTATGTTTACTAAATTATAGAAATAAAATCTTTATATATTCAAAACTGAAAACATACCTTTTCCCATTGTGTTGTTGTGAGCTTTTAGTACTAGTTTGCTAACTTCCGAAAATTTGACAATTTTTCTCCATCTTCAGACCTGTAAATCATAATTTATGTCTACATTTCAGAATACTTTCCAGTGTAGAGTTATACGAACCTGATTTTGATCAGTGGACAATGGTCAAGCCGATGCCTGAACCACTGATGGGTTGTGGCGCTACCTACCTAGAAGGTCTTGTTTATGTTGCTGGAGGAGTGACTAATTCAAAAACGAATAAGAATTCGTCGATAGTTGTTGATCACTTATTATGTTATGATCCTGTACACGATAGCTGGTACAAAAAACCGCCATTACTACAGCCCCGTGCTTTCTGTGTCGCTATTACTGTGAAGAGAGAAGTATGGATCTGGGGAGGTTTGTCAGGCCTTCAAGAATCCGGGAAGCTGGACAGTATTGATACCGTAGACGTTTACAGTCCAAGAAAGTGTCTCTGGGAAACTAAGTTGTCATTGTCAACACCTAAACACGCTGTGGCAATAGCTAAAGCAGGTAG